TCTAAACCAGACACAGAGAAGACTTGTTTTCAGTGTGTGTGTATGTACATGAGCATTCATGTATGTGGAGGCCAGAAGTTGACAGTCAAGATTAACCCTTTATTATCCATGCAGAGAAGCCAGGTTTTTACACTTGACCTTTATGTTTGAATCCATCTTGTGGCAATAATGCAACTTCTTCTAGAATCATCTGAAAGTATCTCTGGGAAGAGGCTTAGTCAGGCTGATTTACCCAAGCACCCACAGCTAATCTCTGACAAACCCAGGCTTCGGGTTTTCATATCAGTGTCCCTTCCCAGCAACAGATGAACCCTAACTCTGAACATAAGTCATGGAGACCTCACATTGTCATTTCCCGGGAAGCAGGCAAATGAGTCAGAGATACCCTTACTCTCACTGTTAGGAGTCCCACAGAAATACCAAGCCAAAAACCAGAACATATATGCGGAGGACCTAGCTCAGACCCATGCAGGCCCAGGACTGTTGCTTCAGTCTCTGTGAGCCTCTACAAGCCCTGTTAGTTGATTCTGTGAGCTGTGTTCTCCTGGTATCCTTGACCTCTCTCTCCTCCAGTTTTTCTTCTTCATCTTGTGTGGGGTTCCCCAAGCTCCAAGGGGAGCGACCTCATGAAGATCTCCAATTTGGGCTCTCCGCATAAATATTTAAAACCAGGAAATCAGAGTGGGATGTCTGCACCCTGAGGTGTCTAGTTTGCTAATCAGATAAAAGTTCCATAATTATGGATGTATATTCATAAATGGTTCTAGAAATAAGTGGGTCACTTTTATCACGTGCACACATTTTCCTGGGGGTGGGTTTTGCTGAGCCCACTTAATGTCATTCTTGCTGAAGGCTGGTCAAGGTAATCAGATAGCAGTGGGGGATGGGTGACTTAGCAGGGATTCATTCTTCTCTGAGTCTGGTTTAGGCAGGTCCAGGATAGACCCAATGTGGCCTATTTGAAAGGAAGATCGGAAGAGCCTTCCAAGGCTCAGATCAGTATTTTTCACAGCCCCCGGGATGGAACCCAGAGCACTGCACATGCTAAGTAGATGCCCTAGATGTGAACCCTGCCCCGAGTCTCAACACAATGGTTTTACAAACGCAGTAGGGAGACTCGGTCACTGCTTGAACTCGCAAGTCTGTTTTCACAGCTTCAGTTTTGCCTCACTCCCCAAACAACCGATGAAGCTAGCTACTCCTGAAAAGATGAATAGGGTGGGGAGAGCAAAGCACCCACAAGTCCCATGGTTTCTCATCAGAAACAGAAGTTTATACTGACACCCGGTGGCCTGCAGGATGCATGGAAACAGAGTCCTCATGACTGCAAGAACGAATGGCCTGTAGGTGTCTGCCTGGGAAGGCCAAAACCAAGACTTCCCTGGAAGCCCCATATTACTTGATCTGTGCCCACCAGGAAGTGGAATTTGAATAATAATCTTTCCATTCCGAACTGGCTACCAGTTGAAGCTTCAGCTTCACCAGTTGCCTGTGGAGCTGGACCTTCCATGGCCATAGTGGCATGAGGACAGGAGTCTAGAGAGGGACACTGCTCACGCCAGCGTCAAGCTCCTTCCTGCAGGGAACTCAAAGCCTGGCAGGGGTCTGGTGTGAACTGGCTGGTCTTCCTGCTCCCACCTTAGCTGAGAGGGCAGGTGGCATTGGGGCAGATGGCAGCAGTGTGGGCCTCAGGGAGTTCCCTTTGAAGACTGGCTGCCTTGGGGTGATCAGCCAGGACCTTAAGAAGTGGAACTGAATCTGAATTGGCCAGCACTCCAGGCACACTGAAGGAGCTCTTTCTAGCTTCCCACACACAGGCTCACACCAGCCAGGTCAAGGTATATGTCCTGAGGGGTGGAGGGGTCGGTCTGTTTCTTTTGGATCTGAGCATTCCAGAGTACCCAGCTTTCCACAGCACATGAGGGTGTGATGAGCAAGTTTCTTAATTGAGCAATGCTCTCCCTTACAAGGATGCTTGCACTTCGGTTCATGTCTAGTCCTCTCTCTCCTGTGCACCCTCTCATTCTGGAGTTTCTGCTTAAGCCAGGGCTCTCCTGTAAACTGCTCCTCTCGGCTCCTGGTTGTCTATGTCTTTCCTGGTTTCAAAGGAACCATGATCCATCCTGGAGCAGTGCCTCTATCTCATCACCTTCCGTGGCTGAGCCCACTTGACCCTGGCTTAGCTCACACCAGACAAGCTGATCTGGCAGCGAAAGGCTTTTATTCAGAGATGTGAGAGAACCAGTATCAGGGGGCTCTCACTTCACTTCACTCACGGGGACCCCTCTGTCCACTAAATACCAAGTCAAGTCCTCCCTCAGGCTTTTTCATACAGTCTTCAAAACACCTCCCACCTCCCTCTCCTTCTTTTAAATAAGGTCTTACATAGGCCAGGTTGGCCTCTTAACTCACTACAAAGTTGAGGGTGAATGGCTGAACTGATCTTCCTGTCTCCACCTCCCAAATGCTGGGATTGCAGGCAGATGCCACCACATCTGGTTTGTAAGGGGCTGGGACGGAGCTCACAGCCTTTGCACGGCAGACAAGCACTCTACCGTGTCCCCCACCCTGCCTCATTGTTCTTCTCTCAACTGGAAAGCAATCTGGAGATGCGTCCAGATAGAAAGACAGGAAGCAGGTAAGCAGGCGTGGGAAAGGAAGAACCCTCACCACCTGTGTCTGGCTGAGTCAAGAGATTTGACACAGCTCACTGGAGACTCACCCACACAGAAACTACACTAGAACACTCCCTCACTGAAAATATCACAGGATTAAGCCATGCAGTGAACCATGCTCAAGAGCAAAATACACCAGGATCTCTTTCTGTGACCTTGAACAGCAAAATTGCTTTGATTTTTAAAAGTTGTTTTTGCCTCAAGGTTTATATGAACCACATTTTCCCCTCAGATACAAGTCTGTCTGTGAGTCACCTGATACTTTCACCTGTAGAAGAAGAAAGAAAGAGAAAGAAAGAAGAAGAAGAAGAACAACAACAACAACAACAACAACAAACCTTTTGGGCTTGGGGAAGATGGCTCAGCCTAAATAGAGGCCATTTTGTTCTTACAAAGCATTAGAATCCATTCTAAGAACCCACGTCACAGACTCACAGCTGCCTGTAACTCAGGCTTTGCTTGAAGCTCTGACTTTTAAGTCCTGAATTTTCATCTTTAATTTTTACTTTCTTGTTGGTGTGTGGTGAATGTGCATATGCCTGCTGTGGTTTGCAGGAGGCAGGAAAACAAGAATTGCTCCTTCCACTGAGATCAGAGGTTGGAACTCAGGTGGTCAGGTTTAGAACATAACCTCAAATATCTTAAACCACAGAGCCAGCTTGCTGGCCTCTGAAGTTCTTTTCTACATAGAAAGTCACTTTCCCTCCAAGTCTCAGCGGAAGCCACTGAAGCTCTGAGAGAGGAGCCATCAGGTTGTGCCCTGGGCAACTGCAGAGGCAGGCTGTGCTGGAGGGGAGCTGAAGGCTTCCAAAATCATGGTAGGCCAACATTTCGTAGTGTCTCTTGAATGAGCTGACACTTAGCAGGTGTGTAGGATAAAAAACACTTTAATTGTTGATGTGGAAATGGAAAAGGCCACCTGTGCGTGAACTGAGGCTTATATTCCAACCTCACAGGGGAAAGGCAGGTGTAGGCCACTTACTGAAGATGAGTTGATCCTTGGAGGAACACAGGAGATGGTGGAGGCTCTGGCAGTTTGTTTGGGGCTTGTGAAAGTCCATCTTTGTTGGATGAATCTATTGATGGCAGGCCAGTTTCCTCAGCAAAACCTGCCTCTAGACAGCTCTGAGCAAGTGCAGAGAAAACTTCTGCATTTGCTGTTTTCTAAATGCATTCAACTCAAAATAACCAGTGCACTAAAGTGACATGTACTGGGCTCCTATATGTTGGTTTCCTTTCCTGCCTCGAATTTTTAATACTTTTCTAAAGGGTTTGTTTGTTTGTTTGTTTGTTTTGCATTACTCCTTATTTTTACTTTATGTGTATTGTTATGAGTGCTTTGCCTGCACGTATGTATTTGTACGGCATGTGTGCCGGGTGCCGGTCGAAGCCAGAAGAGGGCGCCTGATCCGTTAGAACTGGAATTACAAAAGTTTCGTAAGCCACCTTGAGGGTGCTGAGAGCCGCCAGCCAGCGCTCTTAACGACTTAGCTCCACTTTTTAATTTTGAAAACACTGCTCTTGGAAGTCATTTAACTTTGTTCCTGAGATTCTGGGTGTGCCGGTACACGCTGAACCACAAGAGTCCAGCTTGGCAGGGAGCTGAAGCTTTCTCTCTGTAAAAACTTCTGGACCTGCACAGCGCCTGTGTACCTTTAACAATCTGGCTCTCCTTGTGACCTGCCCTCAGTTTTCTTCCAGAACGCCAGGATATGGGCGGTGGACGCTACACACCCGGAACACAAGAGCCCAGACTCCCCACAGTTGGGCAGAACAGCCCTTTCCCTTCCTCACCCCTCTTCAGAGGTGCGAGGTGGATACAACTCTTCTAGAGAGGGGTCGAACATATACGTGCAAGGAGGGAGCGCTTTTTCTGGTCTGGGAGGCATATGGGACGTGGCTAGCTGGAGCCTGGAAAGCTGTAAGGCTTAGGGACAGGAAAGCGCTCCAAGGGAACACGAAGGGGGCGGGTCGTGTTTGGAGGGGTGGTGCGCTGAGCGGGACAGGGCCCTAGTGGAACCAGGCATCTTGGGGCGAGATGGGGCAGGGCTGGCGGCAGGAACAGAACTCGGGTCCACAGATCAAGGCAGAAGTGTACTGGGGCGGGGGCGGCGGGTGGAGCTGGCCTCGCGTCGGGTGGGACGGGGGTTGACCATCGTGGGGGTAGGGACAGGACGAGAGTGAGAGGTTGACGGCCTGGCCCTGCTTCTGGGGTGGCCAGGGCGCCCGCTGCTCCCTGGGGCTCGAGGCGCGCGGCTCCAGCGGGAGGCGTGCGCAGCCCCGAGGCTCTCCTCTCGCCTGCGTCCTCCGCGGGGCTCCGCGGCGATGGTGGACGTGCTGGGCGGCCGGCGCCTGCTGACCCGCGAGGGCGCGGTGGTGGAGGCCGAGGCGGCCCTCCAGAACAAGGTGGTAGCTCTGTACTTTGCGGCGGGCCGGTGCTCGCCCAGCCGCGACTTCACGCCGCTGCTCTGCGACTTCTACGCGGCGCTGGTGAGCGAGGCGCGGCAGCCCGCGCCCTTTGAGGTGGTGTTCGTGTCAGCGGACCGCAGCGCGGAGGAGATGCTGGACTTCATGCGCGAGCTGCACGGAGCCTGGCTGGCACTGCCCTTCCACGACCCCTACCGGCAGTGAGTGGGGACCCCGGGGCCCGGGTCGCCAGGCAGACGCTCTCCTGCATTGTGTCGCTGTGTCAGGCGCTGGTCCTTAACTTCCTAGCCCGCCTTCTCTTCCTGTTCAGATCCGCTGAGGCTCGGTCACAGCATCGAGGGGCTCCGGCCTGCCGGCGTTTCAGGGATCCGAATGTCTCTGGAGTCCCGGGCTGGTCCTGATGCCTGCGGGGTCCTTAGCTAGGGAGGCAGGGCTCAGAGCGGGAGGAACCAGGTGCTGGCCGTCTTTGCCATTTCATTTTTACCGCTCAGCGATGAAGTTTCCTGACTATAATGTGCACATTTCATTGACGTGAATGCTTTCACAAAACAAGTAATCAGGGGTGGGCAGGTGTTAGAGCGGTCAGGGCTGGAGAGCTCCACAAGAGCCGCAAAGAGCAGTGCATGGCCTGGTGCTGGGCATGGAGGAGTCCCGATGGAGCACACGCCCCCAACCCTGCCCCTGCCAGAGCAGATGCCAGTTTCCGGATATCCTGTGACCCTGGGCTTGTAATCCAGTTGTAATGCTACCTGCGAATCCTTTCTGACAAAACGAAGCAAAGCCAGCTTTGTGACCTTATTCTGTGTGTGTGTGTGTGTGTGTGTGTGTGTGTGTGCGCACGCATGCCAGTAGAGATCAGAGGACAGCCTCTGCTGTTATTTCTCAGCTGTCATCCACCTTACTTTTTGAGACACCTCCCTCACTGTCCTGGAATTCCCTAGTGAGGCTGGTGGGCCAGTGAGCCCTAAGGCACCATCCTCTGCCTCCCCAGCTCTGCGATTACAAGTGCACCAGCTTTTTTTTTTTAATGTGGTTTTCAGGACTGAATTTATGTCCTCGTGCTTACTGACTGAGCCATCTCCCGCGACTTTCCTAAATTCATTCTATCTGGTGAGTCCCGGGGATTCGGAGAAACCAGGGGAAGCTGCTTAGCCTTGGGGCGGGGCGGGGGCCTCCCTCACACTGGTAGCACGGAAATCCCATTGACAGTAAGTCTAAGTGACAGCTGATGGCCTTTGCGTGGGGACTGAAGGACGCGAGAACTGCTTGAGTGCTGTGCTTTAACGTGCGACTTGACTGGATGGCGGGCACTCGGGAGTATGAGCTTGAAAGGACACACTTGTTTTGCAGTTGAGATGGCGATGGTGGTGCTAATTAGGCAGAGAGCTCAGACCTCCCGGGAGAACAGGGCTCTGGGGTGCCCATGAGGACGGTAGGAAAGTATGTTTATGGCTGAGTAAACATGGAGATTGGGGTTGATTCAGCCTGTGAAAGGGCTCTGTATTTATTCTTATTGCTGTGACAACGTAAGGAAGGGTGGGGAGTTGGCTCAGTGAGTAAGAGTGCAAGGATGAAGACCTGAGTTCAAGTCCCAAGCACTTAAGTTAAAACAAAAACCAAAAAACAAACAAGGCTGAGTGTAACCCCAGCAACAGAGGGATAGAGTGAGCCAGATGCTGGATGCTCACTGGCCAGCCAGTGTGGCTGAAGCAGCCCGCTTTAGTTTCGGTGAGAAAACCTGATTCAAGAGAGTAATGTGGAGAGTAATCAAAACATCCATCTTACACCTCTGGGCTTTGCATGCATGGACGCCCCTCACCCCCAACACACACGAAATTAAAGAAACTTAAGGGTGGGAGGGGTTTTGTCTTTGGCTCACAGTTTGAAGGTTTGTTACTGGGAGAGAAAGAATGCAGGTGCTGAGCTTACGCTTTCCTTTTCCTGAGTAAGGCCCCCAGCCCGTGGGATGCGGCCTCCCACAGTTTCCGGGTTTCTTTTTTACCACTGATAACCCAGCCTAGAAATCTCCCCATAGACTCATCCAGCAGTCTGTCTCTTAGATGACTGCAGATCCTGCCAAACTGACAGTCAACATGAACCACGCCAGGCCCCTCACAGTGCTGGCTGGTGACAGAGCAGCATGCTGGTCTAGTGCCCTCCTTTCCAGATGTGCCACTGAGGCACAGAGTCCAGTTCTCTGGGGTCTGCCCTTTGTACCCTTACTGATTCCTTTCCCGAGGCTGATTAGCACCCCCAAATGTACACTGATGCCTGGGAGAAGGGTGTTACTCCGGGGACCGTGTGTCTGTCCTCCTTCCTTCCCCACACATCTGTTCCAGAGCCTTTCTGCTCCAGGCAAAGACAGATGGACCTGGAGCACTGGAGGGCTCAGCTACCCTGCTTTTCACTTCCACAGAGATTTTCCTTTTGCAAACTTGGTTGTCCATCCTTGTCCCTTCCCAGTACTTCCTTAACCCTGATGTTGATTTGTGCAAACCAGCAAGTAGAATGTTCTGAGGGGATTGCTGGAGCTGCGTCTTAACTTCTGCTGTCTCAGCTCACTTTTGTGGAATCAGATCATAGGCCAAAGGAAAAGAGTTGCCACTAGGGAGAAGTGAAAACTGCATGAAACATCCGGAAGGTATTTGGGGTAGTTGCTGCCTGCTGAAAGAGTAAGGCAGGACAGGAAGATCCTAGAGGCCGGACTGGGAAAGGAACCAGGAAGGGACCATTGTGTATGTAGCTTTTCCTCAGAGGCCTGCATTACCTTCAGTTCCTGGAGAGCCACCTGAGGGAGGGGGAGGGAGGAATTTTCTACCTACCAGGAAAATCACTTGAGGCTCCCTGAGATTACCATGGCCCGGCTGGAAGCAGGTGCACCGTGGGAAGGAAACACCGGGAACCCTCACCTGGCCCTCAGAAGAGACCTAGCTTTCTGAATCAATATGCAGGTGCATATCAGCGTAGCCCTGTCCCCCGACATAACAGCAGATACCGAATCACGCTGCCCAGAGAGGCAGCTGTTTATTACCAATGTCTCTGAAACAAGATTTGAGTGCTTGGCTAGGACTGTCTCCTCTGCCCAGGTGGCCCAGCACAGTGGCCAAGAGGAGGGCCGACCTTACCCTGAGGATGGCGGCAGGAGCAGCGCTCCTGTGGGCAGTTTTCTCAGGTTGAGGGATCCATCTTATTCCCAGCCTCTGTGACTGGATTTATCTGTCTAGAAAGAGATCCTCCTGCCTCAGCCTCCTGAGCAGCTGACTTCACAGGCATGCATCACCATTCCTTGCAGAACCAGGTCTTGAACAGTTACAGGTGTTCACGTAACAGGCTGCCGTTCCCAAGAGAACCCTTGAAGCGCTGTGACCTCATTGCAGTGCTGGTCCTCATAGGCTGAGATGTGGGCAGAGTCCAAGGTGCGGAGCATGCATCTTTCCTTCGTCATGCCAGCCCAGCCTCTGACCTGCCTTCTAGAACGTGGCTGGGGGTCGGGGCACCTCTTAGCTGACATGTTAGGAGTTATAGAAAAATAGACCCAGCCTGGACTTCATTTCTTGGATAGACAGTGGCTCAGGGCTTTCTGATTCGGATCCCTAGGTCCCCCAGGTCTCTACTTCACTGTCTCCTGGCACCAAGACGGCCCTTGTCTGATCCTGCCTTGTTCCAAGTTCTTTTTAGATGAGCTCTTGAGGTCCTCAGTCTCCCTAGCTGGTCTCAAATGTGTGAGCTAAATAATCCCTCTGCTTCAGCCTCTTGAGTAGCTGGAATTACAGGCTACTTGAGTTTTGGGTAATTATATTTTTAGTTCTATGAGAGTTTGAGTGTATCTTCAGCTCGAGATTTATGTAGTATGGCTGTCCCTTGTCTCTGAAGGGAATGGGTTCCTGGATGCCCTGTGGGTGCTGCCACTGAAGGCCGTTCACATCCCTATACAAAATGGCAGACTTTGCGCAGAACCTGCTCACAGCCCACTCCTTTCAGACCTGCAGCATGCTAACCCTCTGCCCTTCTGTCCCTCAGTGAGCTGAAGAAGAGGTATGACGTCACAGTCATCCCCAAGCTCGTGGTCATCAAGCCGAATGGAGCGGTCATCACCAACAAGGGGCGGAAGCAGATCCGGGAGCGCGGGCTGGCTTGCTTTCAGAACTGGGTGGAGGCAGCTGATGTTTTCCAGAACTTCTTGGGGTGAACCTGGAGGAAGCACGCAGGGCAAATGCCTTCGAAGACGGTGTTACTGGTTCTCCTCTGTTGGAAGATTTCCTAGCGGAGGCACCAGTTTATAGCAAACAGCAGAACATGTTCAGGAAAGAAGTGCGCCCTGCCTCTGTGGTTCCCTGGGGGAACTTTTATTTTTCGTAGCTTTCTCCACCTGTACCTCTGCTCCAGGATGCTTTGGCAGCGAGCTCTCAGGGATCTCCACAAGGTGCTCTCTCTGTAGACTTCTTTGGTAAAATGACCTATCAGGTGGTGCGTTTTCTGAAGATCTGTCACAGTTTAGTGAGGCTTTGGTAGTCATATTTATTAATCAAGTTTGTAGACTGTGTGTTTTAATAAACCAACACTCACACCTTGAACAGTTTGGATTTTCTTCTTTCTCCTTCCAAACCAAATCAAGTAAGTACCAGCAGAGGGACAAGGCAGCAAGTAGCATGCTCAAGGTGTTTGTTTATCTGAAGATTTATCTGAAGATTTTATCTGGAAGATTTTTTTCTAACTTTTATCTCTTCTCTCACTTTTCCTCCTTCCTTTTTTCCTCCTCCTCTTTCTTCTTGTTTTCCTTCTTTTTGGAATGCTATTTTTTTTTCCCTTTTCCTCCCACTACCTTCTTCCCTCTTTTCTTTGGAATTCAGGACTGAGTCCATAGCCTTGGCTTTGTTAGGCAAGCACCCTATCTGTCCCTCTGTTTATGTATTTTATATGTGTACATGGTTGTGTTGGGGTGGAGTGCAGAGGACAGAGGTTGGTGTCTGGTATCTCCCTCGAGGACTCTTCAGATTTTTACATGTTGCACGCACGTAAGTGCCCATGGAGGTTAAAAGAGGTCACCAGATCCCCAGATCCTCTGGAGCTGGAGTGAGAGGCAATTGTGAGTTGTGTGCTGGGAACCAAACTCTTGTCTTCTGAAGGAGCAGCGATGCTCTCCACCACTGAGCCGTTTGTCTGGCCTCCTCTGCTTTGTCATTGTGGATAATGCTGAGGACTGAATCCAGAGCCTTGTGATGCCAGACAAGCACATTTCTACTAAGTTAGACCCAAATCCTCTTTTATTTTACTTTCTTGAGAGGCCCCTCACTTGGAGCTCACTGGTTCACCTAGGCTGGCCTGCCAGTGAGATTCAGATATCTGCCGGACTCTACTTCCCAGTGCTAGCTAGAGCTACAGGCTACACTGTCACTCCTGCCTTCTACACGGTCCTTGAGATCCAACCTCCAGTGCCCCTACTTGTGTGACAGGCGTGATACTGACCGGCCATCGCCCTAGCCCTTTACTAACCGTCCCCTTTTATTTGTGAGAGTATTGCGATAACCTAGGGAGAAATCAGTTCACATTCCAAGGCTGTAAAGGCATGCTCCGCATATTGCCACTTCACTGGGTGACAGTCTATATCTGCAACGGTGGCCCCATGAGACTGTAATAGAACTAAGTAGTTCCTCGTATTTGCACTATTCTGAAATTATGTAGCACTTCCCAGTATGTGTGTCTGTGGTGGTTAATACAGGCCGCTGGGCAGGTTCTAGAATCACTCAAAAGACAAACCTCTGGGCTTGTCCATATGTCTGTGTCTAGGTCAGGCTAACTGAAGTGTGAAGATTCACCCTGAATGTGGGTGTCGCTCTTCCTTGGGATGGGGTCTGTCTTAGTTCTTGTTGTGTTGCTGTGAAGAGACCCTGTGGCCAAAGCAACTCTTATGAAAGAAACCGTTTAATTGGGGACTGCCTTACAGTTTCAGAGCTATAGTCCTTTACCATCATGGGAGGAAGCATGCAGGCAGGTGCTGGGGCAGTAGCTGAGAGTTACATCTTGATCTGTAGGCAGAGAGCACAAGCGGGCTTTTAGGTTTCAAAAGCCCACCCCCAGTGATGCTCTTCCTCCAACGTAACCATTCTCCCAATCCTTTTAATCCTTTCAAAAAGTGCCACTTCCTTGAGACTAAGTCTTCCAATATATGAGCCTATGGTGTCTGGGATGCATAGTTTTATGCCAACTTGACATAAGATAAAGTCATTTGAGAGGAAAGAACCTCAAATAAGAAAATAACTCCATAAAATCAGGCTGTAGGCAAACCTGTAGGACATTTTCTTACTTAGTGATTGATGGAGGAGGGCCCAGCCCATTGTGGGTGGTGCTATCCCTTGGGTTGGTGGTCCTGCATTCCACAAGAAAGCAAGATGAGCAAGCCAGGAGGAGCAAGCCAGTAAGCAGCACCCCTTGATGGCCTCTGCATCTGTCCCTGTCTCCAGGTTCCTGCCCTGCTTCAGTTCCTGCCCTGGCTTCCTTCAGTGATGGAAGTGTAAGCCAAATAAACCCTTTCCTTCCCAACTTGCTTTTTGGTCATGGTGTTTCATCTTGGTAATAGTAATACAAATTAAGAGAGCAGTCATTCTTAATCTAGCCACCGTAGGATCTCAGACTGAATAAAAAGGAAAAGAGAGAGAGAGCTGGGGAGCCAGTTCAGTTGGAAAGGGGTTCTCTGTGCGAGTGTGAGGACCTGAGCTGAGAGCCTCTTTAATCCCCGTGCTCCTGTAGTGAGATGGATGGCAGAGACAGGGGACTCCCCAGAAACTTGCAGGCCGATTAACCTTGGATTTGCAGCAGCCAAACCCGTCCTTTGTTCAGGTGGGAGGTAAGGACCAACGCCAAACATTGGCCTCTGGCTTCTTTTCACACACTCACAGGAACACTTACAAACAGATGCACACACATGAAGTTTAAACAGAGATAGACAGTGAACTGAACACCACTCAGTTCTCTTTGCCAGCAGTAAGGGAAGGCTGCCTACAGTTCAAGCAACCAGCCTCTTGCCATGGCATCTCCTGGCTGGCCTCAAGGAAGTCATTCTCATTCATCTCTAATGTCATTCTTGCTTGATATGATACAATTGTAGAAACTTCATGACCCACCATAAGCCTGGCTTTCGTTTTTGGATCTTGTCAACCTGCTGAGTCCTTCAGCTGTAAACTTGGAGCAAGGCCCAAAATTACTGTAATTAAGCTATACCGTGTCTTAGTTTTGGAAGAAAATTGTATGATTTATTTTTTGGATCAGTTGGCTCCACCTAACAGTCTTAGTTGATTCAGGGGTGCAAGGACCGCCGTGCTGTGCTCCCAACATTTTTGAGCACATGTTCTTAAAGGTAAGCATCTCTTGCCTGTGGATTTGCAAGATGTTCATTTGCATGTGAGCCACACCATAGATTTTTTTTTTTGTAAAAGGTGGAGAAGGCTCAGTGGATGAGGTGCTTCCCAGGCAAGCATGAGGACCGGAGTTCAATTCCCCAGTACCCAGGTAAAAAGCTTAGGCATGGTGGCATAAACTTGTAATCCCAGCACTGGGGAGACAGAGACAGAGGGATCCCTGGAGCTCACTGGCTGTCTGTGGTGGCCTATTTGGTGAGTTCCAGGCCAATGAGAGACATACTTATTAAAAAAAAAAAAAAAAAAGATTGAACTAGCTTTAGCTCAGTGTATGAATTCAGAAAAGTAATGTAGGTAACTCCTAGAGAACATCTGAGGTTGACTTCTGTCCTATACACACACACACACACACACACACACACACACACACACACACACACATACACACACACATACACACACACACAAGTACACAAAGAAGATTCCAGGGCAGAGAAGGTGACCCAGTCTCCTCCCACAGGGATGGCTTGTTTTGGGCTGGGAGAGTGATGGCCACTGCGGGGCTTGGGATAGCTTTTAGAGTAGAGCACTAGCCTAGCCTGTCCAGGGTGCCATTTCAGGCATTCCCAAGAAGCAACATCCTGGCACACTGGGACACATTCTTTAATATCATAATGTCCCTAACAACTAGTTTTGTGAATGTCAGCCTCCTTGCAGAGAACTACTGCATCTGTACCATGACTTCCATCACAAAAGCAATAGGCACGCCTCGTGAAAGCAGAGAAATGTTCTACCACAGTTCTGTCTTGTGACAGCAATACATCTCTTTTCTCTGAACGTCAATTTCCCCCTGGTCACCTTGCTCTCTTCACTGTGTCCCAGACCAGCGGCATGATGTGGGCTTGTGCAGCAGGGGGCAGAGCTGAGAGAAACACACACCCTCGTGTAGGCAGAGGTCCTGGTGAGTCGAGTACCCTCAACCCATGGAGCCATAATTGTCTCATATATAATCGCAAGCCAGGCTGTTCCGCTCACTGCAGTCCTGGTGCGTGCTGGGCTCCTTCTCCTCTGCCAGGGATTTCTTCCTCCAGATTACATAAAAACCCACAAGGACCCAGAAACTATGTTCTCAGGAAATTCTCGACAGGTTGAAGAGTGTCTTATCACTCAGAAGCCTGTATGAATTTAGGGAAGGAGGGGAGAGCCCTTGTGTTTTCTGGTAAGTTTCAGGGACTTCCTGATTCTTGAGTTCACTTCCTGAATCTAAACAAACCTCTCTTTAGAATTTCCTGACTCTTCACCAGCCTTCCTTCTCAGCATTTCTGAGTCTGTAGAATTTACTGCATCTGAACAAACTTCCCCACAGAATGAGTTGCTGCGCAATAATCACAGACTTCGGCCGTTATACACACATTGCACATACACCCCACACAACATACCACGCGCCTTTCCCCTCACCACATACACACACAGCACAAACACACATTTCCACTGGGAGGCAGAAGATGGAAGACACAGGCTTGCCAGGCAGGAGTAAGGTGGTTCTTCGGGGATGCTCAGACTTGGGCTGCACAGAGGCATGCCAAGGCAGGTGTCCATCACTCATGCAATGCCCTGCACCCACAAGGATTTCTAAGTCTTCATCCTTCAAAGGTGATGCCCTATGCTAATATTAGTTGAAAGACTACCAATGTTAAACCACCTTCCCTTTGCAAACTCTCCAGTCTTCGCTAATCAGTAAACTTAATTGGCTGAGAATTTTATTATTATTTTGATGGTGATGATAATGGTGATGATGGTGATAATGAGTGTGTGTGTACATGCATATGTAAGCGTGCCTGTGGGGGCCGGAGGCCAAGCTCAGAAATAGCTCCTTAAGCGTCATATACTTTGTTGTTTTTGTTTTTGTTTTGAGAACAGGAATTCTCACTAGAGAACTGGCTGAGTAGAGTAGGCTGCCTGGTCATCAAGCAGGGCTT